GGCGACTCCTGCAGGGCTGCCCGTGGTGGAGAGCTTGTACCGAGAACCAAACGTGGCATGATTCAAAAAGGACTTTGTGAACAACAAAGAGGGGAATGACTTAGCCAAGGATCTACGGTTTCCCCCTCAACTGTTTGATGTCTTACTTTTATTGTCCATCCATCTACCGTTACTACTATCTTAAAAATGTGTTAATTGTCACAGGGACGAAAGGGAAAGCAAGGGGAATACAGTCACTGGGGCTGTGAGGAGGCCGTACGGGGGCAGGTGGCAGCCAGACTCACAGGGGGCACCGCTCACGACCAGACTCGTCCAGTCACTGTCGTGCAGCTGACACCACATTACTACCGTGGGTCGGTCACACGATCACACTGTGCTAAATGGAAAGAGGAGTCCCAACCTAATTCCATACTTAGAGAGTTCCTCCGGAGTACAGAAGAGGTACACGTCCGTACCTGTGACTTAAGAAGTTATGCAGCACACGCCATTACCTGTTTGAGTGCGGTCAACCTTACGAAGCTGAAACTTTACTGTTAATTAGACTTTAGACACTCATATATTGGCTTACATAAAATACCTGGACTTTGGAAACTTCAGTACAAAAACAGACTTGATAACTAATACAAATAACTGGTCTGCCTAGAGCAGGTGTACCCTGCGAGGCGGACTCACCGGGGGCACTGGGCACTGTCTGTGGCAGGGCTGCTGTCAGCCTGTGGCCCCAAGGCTCCTGGCCGCGGCGGGGCTGGCAGGCGCCCCTCCTGTCAGAGGTGAGGCCTGCGTCTGGCCAAGGAGAGCAGCACGTTCAAGGAGAAAACCGTCAGCGCTCTCAGACACTTTTCAACTACACATTCTCAGCAAACTGGCTCCTGATTCTGCATATCTCACTCGGATATGAATATTCATCCTATAACCCGGGTGTAAGGAACCACACTCCCAAGAGGGCAGCACTGCATAACAAGAGGGCTAACAAGAGGGCTTCCGAAGAAAAGGCAATTGTGGTCAGTAGCCGTAAGCAAACAAAAGACCCACCCAATGCTGCTTCAGGAAGTGATGACCCTCGATCTGAACTGCTCCAGATATTTTAGTATTTATGGTAAACCATCTCTTACTAAGACAAGACAGAATGTCGCTGCCTAAACTGCCTGCTGTTTGCAGCGGGGAGCGTCCTTCAGGCTGACCTTCCCTGGGCTCTGAAGAATTCCCTCCTAGTGGGGGGGTTACAGTTCACCCAGACGCAAGAGGGGAGGGAGGCCGAGCGGTGGGCGCCTCCAAGGAGAGCCCCGATTGGTTTCTAAGGAAGTGGCTTCCCTACAAAGGGAAACCTGCAAACTTAAACATATTAAGAACACTCTGGAAAAGAAAAGCTTGTACAAACATCTCCAGACGAATCTGAACGTAACACCTGCCCCGGTGGTGCCCACAGACCGTCTGGGGCGCTGGGCTCGTGTCAGAGCCCTGCTGCCCCGCGCTGCTCCATGTGGCGGCCCCGGCCACGTCGGGGCTGTGGGGCGATGGCAAGTGTGGGGGAGGGTGTGTGCTCTGAGGTCCCCCGCAGCTCTGGGTCCCGCCTCCAGGGAAGCAGGGGAAGGGCAGACAGGCGGTGGCACAGGCCGGGAGGTGAGCCGGGACCAGGGGCCTGGCTTCTCCCACAAGTCACTAGCACAAAGTGGGGGTCTTCTCAACAAGGCGAGATGGGAAGAGTGCAGTGAGCAGATTGTGTTTGGAGCCCAATTTGAACAAACTGGGTATTAACAGGCACTTCAGGCCACGGGGCCAATTCAAGTACATCCTGGTATCAGAGGACAGCAAGGGCTACTGATCCTGTCTCTGTGAGGTACCATGTGGGGAGGTGTCCTCGTGCTCCAGAGGTGCACGCAGTTCTGAGGGCAGCTATCAACGTCAGGGCCTACTTGGGAGTACTACAGCACCAAATGCAGAGGAGAAGGAAAAGGACGGAGGCCATGAGCAGGGTCCAGCTCCGGCAACGCTGACCGGGGGGCGGCAGGGGTGTGTTTACTCCCTGTTCTGCTTTGGCGTATTTTGCAAACTTTCTAAATAAAAAGCTAAAAAATCAACTCCAGAAAATGAAGTTTCATTGAGGAAACAACACCCCTTTTCAGGAAGCCCTGGCAGAAGCTGGCGGAGAGAAGCATTTCCTCGAATCTCCAGGACAAGAGAGTGGCGAGGCGCCTGCCGCCGTCCGCAGCCCTGGCCGTGCCGGGGCTGAAGGCCTGGCTCGAACCCACGCCCGTGGGGCCTGCTGCCCAGACACTTACAACAAAACAGGACAGCGTAGGTTGGCTGAGGGCAACACCCCAGGCACATTCATTAGAAGACGGGGAGCCATCCTGACGACTAAGGTCCAGGAAAAGCATTTCACATGTAACAGATAGTAACTCCTCACCGCACAGATCCAAGGCCTGCTGTTTGAGTGACATCAAGGGGAAAACAAAGTGTCTGGAACACTCCACCTCGTGGTCCCCAACTGTCCCGCCTACTGCCCTTCCACCCAGGTTGCGACATCTCTTCACAGACACTAGCCAGCCGACACGCCGCCTCCACACTGCGTGGAGGGCAGGCCCAGGGATAAGGGGTGGGCACGTGCCAAGCGCCAGTCCCGCAGACCACAGTCATGACCCTGCGGCGTAGGTTTAAGGCAGCTACAGACACAGAAAATCTGTACGTTCAACAAAAGACCTCTGCTGGTGTTCAATCACACTGATGACAAAAGAAAGACTGTGCCCCCGCAACAGAGCGCGGGCTACTCGGTGTGTGCTCACGTGCCCCCAAGGCAGAGAACTCGAGGGCCTGCACAGGAACAGAGGGGAGGCCTGCAGTTACCAAGGAACACCGAAGAAACCTGGCCTTTAACATGGCATTGCTCTACTAGCTGAGACCACAAGGAGTAAGCTACAGAAACCGAAAAAACAAAACCCAATCTGTGGACTGATTTGACAAAGTCAACAGTGTCCGTCCGCGTTTCCCCTCTGACGTGCACAGATGGACACAGCTGGTGCTGCGGGCAGCTGCCCTGACTTCACGGTAGCAGAGGTCCCAGCCCTGGCAGTGTGCCCGTGGGCTGGGCACGGCCACCTCAGCCTGTCTGCTCATGTGATCTTTCCCACGGCCTCAGAAATAGACACCGTCTATGATGGGGCTTGTTAAAAACAGCTGGGGACTGTCTACCACACACCACCTCACCAGATGGAAACGACATTCCCATACCAAGAATGAACATCTAAGCCCTTGACCTGTGCAGAGCTCCTGGGGTGCCGATTTTTAGTGAAAAACCCGATCCCTGGGTCTGAGGGAGACAGCACCGGTGAGAGCTTGCACGCCAACCCTCGGGCAGATTTGTGTGTCCGGTTCTGCTTTTTTCTGCAACCAAATATCTTATATTCCTATTAAGCTAGATAGAAGAAAACAGTTCAAACTTACACTGCATTTAAACCAAAGCTTCTCTAAGCCCCCTAACTAAACACAGCACTGCTTCTGGATGAAGCCTTAGGCACAGAGTGTGCCCTGGGCAGTGCCAGGGACCCTGCCACGTGCAGCTCGAGAGCCCAGCAGGCGGCGAGCTGCAGCCTCCACGGCCTCTCCCAGGATCTGGGCTCTGCAGGGCTTACTCGAGCTTTCGTGCGGTGGCTGGACAAATCAAACCAAACCTCCATCCTAACGAAGCACGAGCAGCTTCATCTTAAAAAGCAGCTGTCGGCATAAAACACATATTCCATTAAAGGCCAATGTGAATCAGAACTGTGTAACATTCAACACATAGCACCAGTTTTTAGTTGAACCAAAGCACATGCCAGAAAAATAAAGCTGTAAAGACTAACTGATCAGTCCCTAGCCGGAAATACTTATCTATCTTAAGCCTTTTAACATCATCTTAAGGAAAAGTTTTATCCTTTGAGATTCAAAACAGAATAATCAATCAGAGGATTAGGAAAAAGAGGACTCTCTAGCCATGAACACAGAATCCCTTCCTCTGTCTAAAAGCGAACAATCTGAGCTCTCACTGCACTTGAGTGTGTGGCTGGGTTATCCTGCAAGGGAGCCCAGGACTGGTCAAGATGGGTTTTTATCTATCCGTTCTCCTGGAGTCAAATCGAAAATGACTCTCTCTCCACTTGTCTGTGCAAAAGGGCTGCTGAAGAAAAGGCTCACGTCTAGGGGGGCCCCAGCCTCAGCGCCCCAGGAATCTGTGTCTGTGCTGCTGGAGTCCTCAGCTGTGGTGGGTGGGTAGCTGAGCTGCTCTAACTGGTCGATGATGTCCGAGAGCTGGAAGGCTGAGCTGGCCTCGGAGCGGACCGAGCAGGCTGGGAAGTTGGCCATGGAGCTGGCCTCAGACTGATTGGCCGAGCTGGGGGTACGCACAGACAAGCCGCCGTGAAGTGGCAAGTTGCTGAGAGAGCTGTTCTCGGACTGGTTGTTCCTCAGCGAGCTGGTCTCCGAGGGGCTCAGCAGGCTCTGCATCAGGCTGGCTTGTGCCTTCACCTCAAACAGCTCGGAGGTGTCCGAGGGGTGCACATCGCCGCCAAAGCCACCCTCTCCCTCCAATGCAAAGCCATGCTCTACGTGCACGAGCATGGCCTCAGTGGGGTACCTGTCTGGGCTGGATGGGGCGGAGCCGGGGTGAGCACAGGAAGGGGCCTGCGGGCCTGATGCACAGTAAGGGAAGGAAAAGGCCTCTGAGCCTCCAGCAAAGAAGGAGATGTCTGCCGGGTCATCGTCTATGAACTCTTCAGACACCTGCAGCCGGGTGTTTGTCAATGTGAAAACAGGCCCCCCTGCACTATCCTGCCGGCCGTGCGGATGCTCCCCCTCGGCGGGGGCTGGGCCCACGATGAAGCCACTGCCTCCCCCACGGTTGCTTTCACCAGCGGCTCTGCGCTCCCTTCCAGCACCCCCTGCACCTGGGTCTACGGTGGTGCCGCGACTCTGCCCCACAGGACGGCTGGGGCTACAACTCCTGACAACATGACAAAACCCAACACCTTGACAAGGCTGCAGCGCAGGAGGCCCCGGGGACCGGGCCCGTCGGGTGTTGCCGTCGGCTGCCGCTCCGCTGCTCCTCTCTGCAGCTGGCCTCCTGGCGTCAGGAGCCTGGGGCTCGGTGAGGGAGTCACTGCTGTCTTTGAAATCGGGCGGGCCTCGAGGGGCCAGAGGGGAGGTAGGAACTGAATAGAAGGAGACATTTGTTGAAGATGGGGACGCAGAAGTCCTCATGCCCTCGGTGAATGAGATGCTCTAGGGATCACAAGTGAAGAAGAAAAAAGGAACACATGAAGTTACAAGTTACCATTAGAAAGCTGCAGAGCTAACTGGACCCCACCTAGTATGGCCACATTTCTACCTCAGCCTCTGCTAAGTAGGGCAATCGACCGGACTTTCCCCATTGGAACTGAAGATTTGTAAATACAGACAGGCTCCCAAAAGGACCCAGGATTATCTGTTTAAAATCCCTTATAATTTCACTTTTTCTCCTATGTTATTAAATATCTACACTGAAGAAAATTTCCATCATGAAAACCTAGCCATGTGCACCCATGTCCCCTGGGTGTCCTGGGTCACCCTGGAGTTGCATGAGGACATGCTGGGGACTCCTCATTTCTGGGGGGCTGTGAGCCAATACCACTCAGCTAACAAGACCCTAAAGCAAAGCACCACAGGTGATATACATCCAGATTCTGCTGCACTTGGCACTCACTGCTCAGCGCGTCACTGCCCGGGAGCGGTGAAGTGCGTTGGTACGTTCACACGGGCAGTGAAGACCAGCGGCGCAGGGGCCGGAGGCGTTTCGGCAGGGCTGGCGCAGCCCCCGGCATGAGTGACAAGAGGCTCACAGGCGAGGGGGGGAGCCCGGCCCTCACTCGTAGCCCCACACACAGGGACATGGAGTGAGTCCTCACAAGATAGTCATGCCTCTCAGAAGCTCCAAATGACACGTACACTCACAACATCATCAAGAGGGTGTTTAGACCAAAATATCACCCAACAGTCCTGAGTAACTTGTGTGTGAGGAGCAGTGTGCAGCATGGGCGAATGCTGAGGTAGAAGCCACAGCGGCGACCGACCAGCAACAAAACAGAAGCTCTCAGGCAACAGGTTAATGTGCTCAGATGCTCATCACAGCACCTCTTCCTCATCATTCAACCATATTCAACATTCTCTTGTGGTTTTATAAAAGACAGTATCAGGGGCGCCTGGGTGGCTCAGTCGCTGGGCATCTCCTTCGGCTCAGGTCACGATCCCAGGGTCCTGGGATCGAGCCCCGCATTGGGATCCCTGCTCCTCAGGAAGCCTGCTTCTCCCTCTCCCACACCCCCTGCTTGTGTTCCCTCTCTCGCTGTGTCTCTCTTTAAATCTTTAAAAAATCTTTAAAAAAAAAAAAAAAAGTATCAGAACTGAAAGCTTAAATGCAGTTTTTAGATATTCATATTATATATTCATACTATAATATTCATACTATTTTATTTATTATCTAAATAGGCTCCACACCCAATGTGGGACTTGAACTCATGACCTCCAAGTCAAGAGGTGCCCGGCTCTCCTGACTGAGCCAACCAGGTGCCCCCATGCATACTCTTTTAGACTATTCAAAAAGTTGAACTTTGTTAAAAAAAATAAATAAAATAAATTCTTTTAAATTTTAATTGATGTAAAAAAAATTTTTTTAATTGATTTAGCAAAAAATTTCTAAATAGAAAACATACCTAGAAGAGCTAAAGAATGTTTTTATTTAAAAGACCTAATTTAAAAAGTTTGGGACACGTGAGCTTTGACAGATGAGGTGCAAGTGTAGCTTCTGGAAATACTGTAACAATATGAATGGCCAACTGTCAACAAAAACTAACACTGTAGAGAAATAAAAAATCATCAATATGAACCTACATAGCCGCCTGAGGGGGCAGTTATGATATCACATGGTGAGAGCGAGATTCTCTGTGAAAGTGTGCTTGCGTGTGGAAGCTGATGTGCAAACCTGAAAACAGGAAGCTTCTAGTGGGGCAGATGGAGGCAGAGGACCACCCATGCCTGCCACACCGGCTCTTTCCGCTGTCTCCACATTCTGGACGCTGGGGCCGAGCGTTTTTCTGTGAAGTATTCGCGTGCGCCCGCGTGTGCCCTTGCTTTCATGGTTGTAATCATGCCAAACACAGATATAAATTTGTTTCCTGCTTTTTACCCTTAACGTATTAGCAAAAAATCTCACTCTGTGAATATAGCTTAATGAAGTAAACTAGTTCCCTAAGCTAGCATTTTACATTGTTTCTAACATAAAGGTAATATTCATTCAGTTGTTTTCCTGGAAACAAAAAGCAGTGTGAGCCCACTGCAGAAAACTAAAAGTACAAAGAGAAAATAAAATTGCCTGGAGCGGGCGCCTGGGTGGCTCAGATGGTTGAGCGTCTGCCTTCGGCTCAGGTCATGGTCTCAGGGTCCTGGGATCGAGTCCCGCATCGGGCTCCCTGCTCCTTGGGAGCCTGCTTCTCTCTCTTTCTGTCTCTCATGAATAAATAAATAAAAATCTAAAAAAAAAAAAAAAAATTGCCTGGAGCCCTGTCACTCAGAGAGGACACGTGACACTGAGGTTCATGCCTCTAGCTTGTCCTCTCTGGGCATCTGTTTGTCACTTCAGCTCAGAATGAGACCTTATTACACAGGCTGCTTTGCAACCTGCTAGTTTCACTTGCTAACCCATTCTCGAGCGTCCTTAGCCACACACTGTTTTCCTAAAACGAGACCGTTAGTGGTTCTCGAGCACTCCTCATCAAATGGGCACACCCAGGACTGTGCCAGTGAGTTGCCCAGCACAGCTGGTGGTGGTCTGGATTTCAAGCGTTACAAAAACACCGCAATGCACAAAGCTTTCTCCTTTCTTAGGACTCCTCTTCTGCAAACAGCCCCAGGATTGGAATCTCCACAAAAACAGCAGGACCGACTCTAAGACTCCTGTTACAGCAATGCCACGGTATCCTCCGAAGGAGTGCAGGTGATTAGTATCATGTGTGTTTCAACCAGAAGGACTAACCTGCCTTGGCAAGTCTGCAGTCAGAGCACGAATAGACATCCGAGTCTTGCTGTGTCTTCTGCAAACAGAGAACAAGGTGTGAGCCACCACGCCCACCTCTCCTGGTACCTGTGCCGAGGGCAGCCGAGCCGTGGGGAAGAACGGGGCTCAGGTCTGCTAACATGCCACAGACGTCTAGCTAGAAACAGGCAGGTGACAGAAAGCGAAAACTCAAAAAACAGATGTTGTAGAAGAGGTAAAATTATCTCCCGCACTGAAGAAAAATTCCACACGCAAAAAAAACCTAGACGAATTTTCAGATTCAAAAGTTACCATGCTACATGAAAATCTATGTGAGATGAACTACACAGAGTAGAGCCCCAACAGCAGAACCTGAGGCTGTGCACATCACCTGCATCAAGATGTTCACCCATTATCTTTAAAAGATAATTTGACTCAAGTGTCAAAATACATGTTTATGTATGTATGTCTGTTTAAATAAAGGTTAAAATACGGGAATATTGATTTTAAAAGCACATACTTCACAGCATAAAGACCATGGTGCTTACCTTTCGTACGGAACTCTCTTCACCCCACTGTCTCTGACATAATCCACCAGCTGTTTCTGAGTTCTTCCACTGTGAATAAAGGTTCAGATTTTAAAGAAAAGAGCCAACAGCAATTCACAGCATTAATCTTCCACAGAGGCAAAGTAACACTTGCCAATCCTCTAAGTTCACACATACGTTTTACAGCTATGCTTCGTAGGAAGCATACCTGATATTCTACAGTTTCTATCAAAGCTATTTTTCCCATTGTTTTACTTGATACGCTTCTGCCAGCTTGCCTCGCTGCATGCTGCATGTAATTCTCTGACACACGTGACAGCGACATCTCAGTCCTACAAAGCTGCCAGAGCCCACCGGGTGCATGGTGCTGCCCCACCTGTATCTGAAGGACGAGCCCCTGCTGAAGAAGACGGCTTTAGCTTTGGCCTTAGGTTGATCAAAGAGTCTAAAGAAGGTGTGATACTCCACACAGATCTTCCAGAAGTTCTTGCATTCATCTCTACTGCCCAACAAGAACTCCAGCGTATCCTGGTAAGGTCCCTAGAAACAAAACACGAAGGTTCAAAAGTAACTAATTCAAGAACATCCAGGAAGCATTCAGATAACAGGCTATTTATTCCAATGTTAAAAATCAGGAAAATATATTTTTCTGAAAATTATCTATAAAGACTTCTGGTGCCATTTACATTTAAGAGAAGAAAAGTGGTATACACATATTCACTAGAAATTATCAGAAGAATGCAGTAACCCACGATTACACAACTGCTAACGTTTCCAAGTGCACCCTTGGGACACATCCCACAAGGCAAACCAGGGCATCTTCTCTGTCAGCCAACTATTTATATGCCGTCGCCCAATCATTTTCCTGTGGGGTTCTGGGGGTGTTCTGGATGTCCAGGACACATGATTTTAAAGGCTCACATATGTCATCTTCAAGCAACTACTGCGTTCTCTCTCATAGTTATTCCTCAGGACAAATTCTTAGAAATGTTACAGTGAGCTTAAAATAATGCACATGAAAAAAATGGTATTTATTTATTTTAAGTAATCTCTGCACTAATCATCTGGCTGGAACTCATGACCCTAGAATCAAGAGTCACACGCTCCCACCGACAGAGCCAGCCAGGTGCCCCAACAATGCACACTTGTGAGCCTTGTGACATCCTACCGAATTACCGTCCAGAAAGACCATCCTACCTGGACTCCTATATTCAGTCTTTGAAATCTAAGTGCTGAGGGACGCAAGCTGCAACTCTGCCATTGGCAGGTGTCGTCAGGGCTCTGAGCCCCCGTGTGCCAGAGCAGTGATCACCCTCGTTCCCACGCTGGTCAGAACCGCCCCGGAAACAGTTCTGGTACTCAGAGAAAAAAGCAGCCCTTTACCTGCATTTTGTGTATGTTTTTCGTATTCCTTAGACTTTCCTTTCATTCCTACAACAGATATTTGAACAAGAAACAAGCCACCTTTTGTGCTTCTGCAGAAAGTAAACGCGCATGCAGCACGTGCACCTGCTGTTTGACCAAAGCTCTGGCTGACTGAGTGCCTTTCAGAAGCTTAGGGCCCACCACTCATGGTGTGTCTGCGCCGAGACAGCCCCGTCAGCCTCCTCCCGCAGCGGCGTGGCTGATCTACTCTCAGTTCCTAACCTCCTCTGTGCACTGGAAATGTACCAACTTGGACACCTTCGAATCGCGCTTTAAGTATTGGATTTTTCCTATCAGACTGGATAGACATGTACTTTTTCCCATCTTTACCCATTTCAGTAAATTCCCATGTAATTATTATTTTATTGACTGATAATCTCAAAAGGAAGGAGTATTTATTTTCTGAAAATCAAGACTTCTCCAATTAGAGTTAGCAAAAGGTCAATTTCTGAATACATCCTGGGAATGTCCCTTACTCTGGACAGAAGCTCTAACGCTAATCTGCTGTAGGGCTTCAGATCACAGTTAAATACCTCGTGTCTCAGCCTCCTAACCTAGAGAACAAAGACGCTGTAATCAACTGATTGTTCTCAGCAGCCCCTGTGAGCTTCTCTCTTTCACCTCAGACCTGCTGAAGCTGAAATCCGGCCCAGCGATGAGTGGTGTAAGCAGCCCCTCAGGGATGCTGACCCATGCTCAGGAGCAAGACCTACAGGGCAGATTACCCAAATCCCGTCCTTAAATTCTTGTGTGCATGATGTGTGCATTATTCATAAAATAATTAACAAGTCAATATTCTAGGAGAATAAATTTTCTCGTAATTCAGAAAGTGCTTGAAATCATACTTACACGGACCTCTGCGTGCAGTTTGATGAGAAACCTTTTCCTCTTGAAGCTGAGTTTTCGGACCCTGGACCAGTTGAAAGTGTTAATTTTGGTGGTGCCCTGAAATTCAAGAGATGGACACTCAGACACATTTGTAATCCAGACACACACACACAACTTTTCATGAAATAGAGAATGTTTAAATTACAACCTTGCCAGATAGCACAGCAATGCACTTGACATTTTATAATTGTATCTGGAATGACTCTGAATTAAAATGTCAACACTAAACATAGGAATGTACTTGTTTTAGGACAGTAACTTGATTTCTTTGATAAGGTTTTCTTACAAATTACTTTTTATCAAGGCCAATATTGAACACTCCTTGAAGCCCACTCCTGTAAGAGGGTGGTCAGGAGGAGTGACAGTGGTGGCCAGGCAGGGGCGGGAGCAGAGCCGGGATTCCCACTGTGGGGGTGGGGAATGCTGGGCCGGGCTGTGGGGCAATGCCCTGGAGTGGCAGCTGGTAGCACGAGCTCTTGACTCTTGGAGTAGCTATGGGCACGCTGAGTGCATGCGGTTTTGGCTTCTAGATCCGATGCTCCACTGGAAAGACCAGGGCTCTTCGGTCTTCGGGGTGAAGTGGGCCAAGCACAAACTGACCCTGGAATATCTTGTCTAAGAAAGTAAATGAGCGCTCAGTGGGATGGTACGAGCCCAGCAGACACAAGCGCCTGCTTGGAGGGATGTCCAAGGGCCAACGTGGGACAATTCACAGACCAAAATAAATAGTGACAGCAGCAGATTATCAGGCGTCAGAGTATAACCTGAACTGTTAGAATTCAAACTGTGATGCGAGTGTAATACAAATCCACGAGTCCACAGTGGTATGAAGTAAGCAAATGCAGGGAAAACCCTTCCAGGAGCACAACAAATGGCATCAAAAAAGTCACCATGTGGCAGCCCTCAGAGTAATCCAACTAGGTGAGTGGGTGAGGTGCAGACATGTACGTGGCCTCAAACTCTCTCCACAAACGGCTTATTAGTCACCAAGGACAAGAAGAACCTTTGCAGTACAGCAGCCTGTCAGCGCCGTCTGACCAAGTGCTCAGTGCTGACCCTGCCAGCGACAGCTGGCACCACGGGCCACCCCGAAGCCATACCAGGAACACCGTCACTTCTGTGACTTACCCAAGAAGCTTAGCCTAGGGTCTGATCATCAGCAAGTGTTCAACAAGCCCATATCATGGTCATTCCACAGAATGGCCTGTAATCACGAGAATCAGGGAAAGAAGGAAGAATGTTCCAAACTGGAAAGAGCAGATGACCGTGCACGGCGCCTGACCTTAGATCTCTTGCAACAAAGAAGATTAGGGCAACTGGTGAAATCTGGATGGAGGTCTCAGGTGAAGAAGTTCTTTGTACTGTTTTTTTTTTTTAAGATTTTATTTATTTGACAGAGAGAGAGCATGAGCAGGGGGGAGTGGCAGAGGCAGAGGGAGAGGGAGAAGCAGGCTTCCCGCTGAGCAAGGAGCCCGATGTGGGGCTCGACCCCAGGACCCTGGGATCATGACCTGAGCCGAAGGCAGACGCTTAACCAACTGAGCCACCCAGACGCCCCTCTTTGTACTGTTCTTGTAACTTTTCTGTAAGCTTTGAATTGTTTCAGAATAAAAATTCAATGTTTTTTTTTTAGATTATTTATTTATTTATTTATTTGAGAGAGAGAATGAGATAGAGAGAGAGAGCGTGAGAAGGGGGAGGGTCAGAGGGAGAAGCAGACTCCCCGCCGAGCAGGGAGCCCGATGCGGGACTCGATCCCGGGACTCCAGGATCATGACCTGAGCCGAAGGCAGTGGCTTAACCAACTGAGCCACCTAGGCGCCCTAAAAATTCAATGTTTTGAGACACCTTCCTGGTATTCTCCCCTCTACTCTTGACCATCGTGATCATTTTCTCTGCAAACCTGAGATGGGGGCAGGAAGGTAGGGAATGAAGTTTCCCTTCAGAAACTCCAAAAACCTTCAACCTTAAAAGGGGATGGGACTTGACGCACGCCACCACATGGACCTATTCTGAAAACAAGGGAAGAAGCCAGGCGTGTGGACCCGGTTTAGGTGTGGAGCCCGGAAGGAGAGCCTGAGGCAGGGCGTGGCTCAGTGGCAGTCAGGGCGGGAAGTGGGTGATTAAAATCACTCTGGATTACATAGGGTGATGGCTGCATGATTTTGTAAACACACTAAGAATACATGAATGTGTACTGGAAAGTGGTAAAGTTTATCGTCTGTGATTTACATCTCCAGGAAAACAATTCCCAAGTTAAGAGGTGTCCTGAAAGCCCTGATAGGAATGTTCGGGTCTCCATGAGAACTGAAGCATCCCAGATTTCCAAATACTGCCCAAACCACTAATTACTCTAATTTCTGCTCAAATTTTCAACTATGTTCTCAAAAAAAGCAAGCAAACAAAACAAAAATAACCCAAATACGTAACATCAACAAAAGAAAACAGAAGTGGGGCGCCTGGGTGGCCCAGTCGTTAAGCGCTGCCTCCGGCTCAGGTCGTGATCCCAGGGTCCTGGAATCGAGCCCCGCATCAGGCTCCCTGCTCGGCGGGAAGCCTGCTTCTCCCCCTCCCACTCCCCCTGCTTGGGTTCCCTCTCTCGCTGTGTCTCTCTCTGTCAAAAAGTAAATAAAATCTTAAAAAAAAAAAAAAAGAAAGAAAGAAAACAGAAGCCTCCCTCCTGCGTCCCGCCCACCACGCCCGCCACCCCCACGCCGTTTTTAACTCCGACATGGTTTATGTGCCTGGGCAGGGGCTGTGAGCAAGGTAGAGACAGTGTGTACCCCCCAGACAGACACGGACCAGCTGAGAGAGGTCTCACACACTGGTGCTGCCAGCCTGCTCACCCTTGCACTTCCTTGTAGCCAAAATAAAAAAAAAATGTTATATTCCAGGGTTTCAACCACTGTCATAAGTCAAAAGAAGAAACAAAACCCGATCACAACTGGAGTGTTCATGAACTCTGCCTCACCTTGACAGACTCTGACTTTTCAACCTCTAAAATTGAGCAGCTGGCTGTAAACACTCAGAGCTACTGCTTTCATTTTAATTTTTATCCAATAATCCATGGCATTAATTATAAATGTCTAGGAAGACTTGAGACAAAACCCAGCCATTCTGGGCCCTCTTGCTGGGATGGCACTCCCTTCAGCAGCTCTCGCTCCTGCTGGAGACCCGGCCTCCTGAGCGCTCCCACACCCCCTCCGCGGTGGCCGAATTTTAAATTTGGCTTTTATATTATTGATCATGTGAGTACTTCTCACAGGTTGAGCCATGGTAAATCGTAACTATTTTGCTCCCTTACTTTCAGTTCTCCCTGAGAGACTAAGTGCCTCTTTCCATTTACTCAATTTTGTGTTCTTACCACTAATTCAGCCCAAACTCTCCCTGCAGAATTTTTTTTTTTTTTAGATTATTTATTTTTTAGAGAGCAAGAGAGCACAGATGGGGCAGAGGGAGGAGAGAGAGAACCCTAAGCAGACTCTGCATTGATCGCAGAGCCTGATGGGCGCTTGATCTCACAACCCTGAGATCAGGACCTGAGCTGAAACCAAGAGTCGGACGCTCAACCGACTGAGCCACCCAGGTGCCCCATCCCTGCAGAGTTTAACACTCTTCAGTGGGGTCTGATCCAGGAGACAACTCCCTCCATGCTGCTCGCATGCTGATGGGTGCTCCCTGGGCCAGGCCTCCAAAGTGTGGCCCATCTGCCACTGGTCTGTTCTCTCCTCTGGTCGTGTGCTTTAAAAGGTGCTCAGCCGTCAAACCTTTGAAAAACTGTGTATCTGGAAAATGCTTTTATTTCCTCTGCACAGAAGTCATGTTGAACAGGGCACAGGATCCTGGGTGGGAAATGATTTTCTTTCACGTTCTGCACCACTGCCTGCCCTATTTCTCATAGCTTCCAGTGTTGCCCCTGACAAGCCAGATACCATTTCCTTCCCTCTCCTCCTGGGAGCTCTCTGGTCCTCTCCCCCATTCTGACATTTCATGCTGGTGTGTCCTGCGGTGACCTTTACTCGTCAGCTACACTAGGAACGTGCAGGCACTTCCAATATGGACACTCGTGCCTTAAGTTCTGGACACGTTTCTCACGTGATTTCGGTAACAGTTTCTTCTGCTGCTCTGGGCTGTGGCCTCTGGGCATCCTGGTGCTGGTGGGCTTTCTGTGCTGTTCGCTGAATGGTCACTTTCCTCCTATATCATGAGTCCTCTATCTGCTCTGTGGAGATTTCCTCAACTTCATGTTCCAGACAGCCTCACTCTGCAGCATGGTCCTTTCTGCTACCACATTTCCGCAACACCACAGATCTGCAAACACTCCTGTCCTCCGTGTGTCTCTGTGACTGCGGGCTGCTCGTGTCTCAGAGATGCAGGCTTTCTGTGAGGCTTTCCGGAAAACGTAAGGCAGTGATGTATCAACAAGGTTCAAAACCTCACCAGGATGAGTCTGCAGGGAAAAGCCCCTTCTCACCCGCTCCCAAAGCCTGCAGCTGCCCTCCCTTCCCACTGGCTGTCAATGCCACCTGTTTATTTTGAAAGGTGTAAAGAGTGTGTCATTTTCCCTCTTTTCCCCACAAGTAGGAGCAAACTACACACACTTGAATCCACACAACAGTGCATCTGAATGTCCCACGTATCACGACACAGAAAGCCTCCACATTCTTTGTGCAGTTGCCTGATATTCCATAATATGAATGAACCAGCCTCCTGATGATCAATTACCAGTATTTTACTATTATAAATAAGGCTAAAATTTAAAATTATAAGACAAAAATTTTACATGTCTGATTCCTACTCCTCATGAGCATGACACAGTGTAAAGCGATTTTTCTTTATCTTGTCCATGGGACAGATAGAAGACAGCGTCTTCTCTGAGGAGTCTAGAGGGTTTGTTTCTCCATTCCATTCCTGGCACAGGCTGTTTCTTCTGAACACTAATTTGGTATCTGTCCTTGAAGAGAGAGGATTTCCTCAAATTTCTGGTGATCCCTGGTTATCTGCCTGAGTTTAAAAGTGAGGTCCTAGGACTGTAAGAGTCTGTGACCATCTGGTCACTGGGTGTGAAATCTAGGGGTGATCTGGAGAGGGACAGGATAACTACATGGTCTTAAAGGTGTCTCTCCACGGACTGCTTATGGGTTTAAAAACTAGTAACTATAATAACCAGTAATAACTAAAGCTAGTAACTATTAACCAAGACTAGTAATTAAGAACTACAAAGCAGGAATCAAGATTCACACCACCAGTGAGGCTGGATGGTGTCTCAGTCGTGACTCCCTGGGTAGTGGTCCAGCTGGGAATGTGCCCCCTGAACCTAATCCCGGGATAAGAGCAGACAAACCACAAATGGAGAACGTCCTATTAAAAATAAAAAGGACTGTGTTCTTTAACACTGTCAATGTCCTAAAAGATGAAGAAAAAAGAAATGCTCTAGTTTCAAGGACACAGCACACGCGATGGCTAAACACCGTGTCCGGTCCTAGCCTGGGCCCTGTCCTGCAGGGATAACAGCCATGAGGACATCAGCTGGCTGGATGATAAGACTGGAAGATGACCAGCACATCAGCTGCTTCATGATAATGATAAGGCACTGTTCTATTCTTACAAATGTATGCCTTCAGTGGTCAAGGGTTCTGGAGTCTGCAACCCATTCTCAAATGCGTCAGAAGACTTGTGCATGTGTGTGCACGTGTGTTCACGTGTGGTTGTGCACGTACACAGAGTGGGGGTGAGGGAGCATGCCAGGGGGAAGTGCAAACCACAAAGCAAATGTGTAAAATGCTGGAATGGGTGAAATCTGGGGTTAGGGCACATGGGGGCTCTCTGTGCTGTTCTAATTCTTACAGCTTTTCTGTAAGTTTGAAACTATTTCCAAATAAAAGTCTTTAAAACAGAAGGCTCTAAAATGCTGGCTGGAGGCTCTGTGTGGGCTGGGGTAGGGACCCAGGCCCATTACTATGCGGTGTCCCAGTGTCAACACCTGCAGGGCTCCCATAAGTCCACGTGGACTTTCTGGACATCACAGTCCCCTGTCTCTAAGATGTCAGCTTGGCCACCATTCCAAGGGAGCAGAGACGGGGAGGGCCTGCCGCAACACTGAGATTACAGGCTTTCCCTTAAATCTCTACCATCTGAGCCATACCCTGGAGAGGAAGACCCCTGCCCTCTCCCAGCACAGGGAGGGGCTGCAGCTCTGCAGCTGTACCTCCTCCCACGGTGACATCAGGCTGCCGGCCCCAGCCTGCCCCGGGCCATCAGACAGCAGCCTGACTCCCCCACTCCCCTCCCACTGCAGACTGTGGGATCTCAGCCTTTCCTACTCCGCGCTGTTCCCACTCATCTGCCCATCTCCCAACTTCCAAAACGTCGCTGACACGCGCCTTCTGTGATTTCCTTATCTAGTCTTTGTTCTTACTAGTTTAAACTTAAAAAAAAAAAAAAATCCTTCATTGTCATTCTGTTGGGGGTTTGAGGGAATAAAAATACCATCCGATGTGTTTAATTTGAAGTCTCTAATCCCTGCTTTTAACTTCTTCCAGTTACAAATTTATCCTTTTCTGGAAAAATTACCCCAGCTCGATTGGGATGGATGTGTGATTTTCATCTCTGCACGATACAAGAACTATCATGTGAGCGAGAAGGTGTGGGAGGCCCTGGGTCCATCAACTCAGTGTGCCTGGCACGGTCTCCACCTGTCAGTCAGTATACGATAGAACACAATTAACACTGTTTACAAGGTAAGATTTTTTTCCCCCAATAGGAAATTGAAAATTTGATGGCTAGGTTAAAAAAAGAAAGGGAAAGAAAAAGAGAACAAGTGTGGCTTGACTATGGGGGCCTGGATCAGCTGAGCCGTCTTAGCTGACCGTAGGTTAAGAAGAGCCCACAGAGGAAGGAGCCGCTGATGCAGCCCCTGGACTCCCAGGACGCACCCTCCCACGGCGGTCAGCGCTGAGCAGGCCTTTGCAGGATGTCTATGTGCAACTGGAGGCCCACAGCTTTGCAAAGGCCAGACCAGAGGGCTCCCTAGAGGGGGGATCACAGCAGCAAGTGGGCCACTGAGCCTGGGTAAGAGGGTGTGGGAGCCCTTCCAGCATCTCCAGGCCACGGAGGGCCTGCGCTCTAGCAGCTGCTTTCAGATGCCTCCACACCACAAGCCCCAGCACACACACGCTTCACTGCAGGCAGAACTTAGTGGCCCTTTATGGAACCGTCGGCCTCTCCACACACAACCAACACAAAGATACCCGAAGATCGTACTGATGGTTATCATGCGCAACAGCCTCTGATAGTTTCAGTCTGTTCTATTTCTATGTCCTGAAATGAGGACCACAGACACCTCACAGTGCAGCACGTCCAGACCTGCCGCAGGTCCACGCCCAAGGCAGGGAGACAGCTCCACAGAGAGGAGCCAGTGTTTCCCTGAAGGTTCTATGGGGATGACCTTAGGGTCAACATCAGAGGTGGCATGTGACCAGGCGCCCAGGGCGGGGGCAGGGTAGAGGGCTCTGCGACAGTGAGGACAGAGACAAGGAAACAACCGTTCCACTCCACGGAGTGAGAGGTGGGACCAGAAGATATGCAAGGTTCCTCTTCCAAGTCCAAGACCTTATGCATGACAACAAAAATTTACCAGCACGTGTAAAATCAAGCCCCACCAAGTCATAGCACACCCCCGCCCTCCCTACCTGGAACACGAGGACACCCATGTGGGAGACAGCCAGGTTAATTCTGGCCCCCTCCCTGTCAGAAGCTCTGTGAAATCTGAGGCCATACATTTCCAACTTTCGGGCAATTTCAAGCACCTGGAAATCCGACTCGGCAGGCGTCTGGCCCCTATAATAAAGGACGGCATGATCACAGCACTGAAAACAACTTCATTTCTCAAAAAGCCAAAACATACAACAAAATTGATTAGGAAAACAAAACACAATAAAACAAACCAACACAAGGGGCTTTGTTTCAGAGTAGACTGCTCACTGTAAGTTTATTTACCCACTAGAAATGCAGCATACCGCACACACAGACCAAAGAAATTGTCTGCTTCCTTTTATCCTATAATCCATTTCCTGATGGGCAGAATGTTTTCTTTGTATTCACTAGATGCTCAGCCTTATACTTCGTCCTAAATACTGACACAGTCACATGCAAACGTTACACACAGAGACAAATATTAAATGCAGGAAACACCAAAGATAACATCAGTATCTCATTCAACTCATTTCAATACTTTAATAGAAAAAAACCTTTTATAATACACAATTCTAACCATTAGAATATACTTTTTTAAGGATAAAATTATGAAACTGAGTGACAAGAAATTTCTCAAGTTCACAGTCCTGTCATGCTCCCAGGGAAGAGCCCATGACCCAGGTCACACGGACCAGCCTCCAGGAGGGTACTGCTCAGACAGGGCACAGCTGGGCCAAGGGGAGAGGGTCCTAGTCAGAGCATCCCCACTCAAGGCCTGAGCCTTATACGTGGGGCCCTCCATGAACAACCTTTCCTCTTACTTCCAAGTGCCTGACAGCTTTCGGATCTTTTTTTTTTTTTTAAGATTTTTTATCTGGGGGCGCCTGGGTGGCTCAGATGGTTAAGCGTCTGCCTTCGGCTCAGGTCATGATCCCAGGGTCCTGGGATCGAGTCCCACATCGGGCT